CGATCAAGAATGTGCGCGTTTACTTTGCCAAAGTTCTGCACAAACACTCTGTGTATCCAGGGTTTGCCAGTACGTGCAGCAGCCGGGACTGGGTCTTCGGTATCAAGGAAGCGACGGTCAGGAGGTTCGATCGGCAGACACTTGGAGCTATCTTGGCCGTGTGAGCGAGAATCCACACAAGCACTCAACACGAGTCCATGCACGTCAAAGTTACACGTCATGGCCACAGATTTTGAAAGGAGTCAAAATGGCCGACGGCTCAAGGACCCCAGCTTAAAGAATACATCGAACAAAAGACAATGTTTCCACAAATACCAACCGCCTCATGACCTAGTGGTGGCGGAGCGCTCGGAGCGACGCCTCAATGGCGACGAGAGGCACTTGAAACAGCAGCGCGGCCACGTCGCGGTGTCCTGCTGTGCACGCCGCTTCGAACGTTGCATACCCCGTCTGCAATCGCCGGTGAGTTGCGTTTCGAGCGCCGTCACTGACCTCGTGTGCCAGCGAAGCCAGCTCAGCAGGCGATTCAAGCAGCCACTGCACCACGTCGAGGCGACCGTTCTCGCATGCTAGCATCAGCGCCGACTTGCAGGTCTACACGGCCGCTTCGTCAACGAGTGTCCCAAAAGTAGAGCCACGCACCTTGTCAAGTCGCGCCGTGTCCACTCGGGGCACTGCCGCAAGCGCTTTGGCGACGGCTACGTGGCCACTGGCACACGCCAGTAGGTACGGCGAGCGCCCCTCCTAGCAGCCATCTCCTCTCCGCACCATCTTTGAGGCCATCCGCACCTTGTCGATGGCGTCAACGGGAAGTCCCGGGTAGCTCAGCAGCTCGTTGATCACGACGGCGTGTCCGTGAGCACTGGCTAGGTGCAGTGCGGTGCGACCGGCCTACAATGATTAATGAACACCATCGTACCTAGAAGACGAAGGGTGTACGTCGTCGCAGTGGCCGAGATCGATCTTGCGCTTCGTGAGAAAGGTGCGCACGAGATGTTTGTTGCCCGTGGCGCAAGCGAGCATGAACGGCGTCGTTCCTGTCTACGACGATGGATTGTTCCCGGTAAACGAGCGAGCGTCCGCGCACCGGCGTCGCGCGGTTCACGTCGACAGAAAAGAGAATAACGAGCACCTCGACGCTCGACGTCATTTCGAGTCGGCAGGCGTGATGCAGCCCCGTGAGACCCGCCTAGCGCTTGGTAATGAACTACCAAAGGCGGCTAAGTACCTTGTCGCGGTGGTTTACGTCGGCGTGGGCTTGCGCGAGCACGTACAGCACGGCCGCATAGCCTCG